GATTATCACAATTCCTGCTTTGAAAACCTAGAATGCCTTCTCTTTGCTTTATGAATTTCAACCATTCCATAACACAGACTTGTCAAATGGACTAATATTTTTATTTCTTAAAACTGGAGAGGCATTGTTATGTCTGTGCAGCTGGAGCTGAGGAGGAGGAAAGAGAGTTAGGGTACAAAGCAGCTTTCAGGACTTCTTCTAACAAAATCTACCAAAGACATTCAACACCTGACACAGCAGATGGAGGCACCAGAAGAGGCATCTGTTGCAGCCCAACCTCACATGTCTGGGTGGTTTTTGTTATGACTTGTAACACTGTGGAAGGAGTAATGTAATCCTGTAGACAGTAATCTACAAAATCTTCAGGCTGCTGATGGTGAGACTGAAATCTGTCCCCGATCCCCTGCCACTGAACCACGATGGGATCCCTGAGTGTAATCTGGTTGGATCATAGATCAGGAGCTTAGGAGTTTTTCCTAGTTTCTGCCGATACTGGAAAAACTCATTGTTAATACCCTGACTTGCCTGGCAAGTGATGGTGACTCTGTCTCCTGAAGATGCCAAGAGGGAGGATGGAGACTGGGTCATCTGAATGTCACATCTGGCCCATGAGATTGAAAACATAAAAAAATCCACACAAAGAATCATGCTATAAGAGGACTTATAAGTAGTCACCATCCTGGCTGAGTCAATTGCTAGTGTTCTCCCTCTTTACCTGGGAACCAGAGCAGCAGGAGTCCCAGTAGCTGAGCAGGGGCCCTCATATCCATGCTGTTTCCTGACTGAAAATGATTCCTGCCCAGGGTGTGACTAGCCTATTAATAAGTCTTCAGGGCAGTGGGCTGTGCTCTGGAAACATGGAAATCATCAGGGAATCGGGCAGGCTGGGCACAGCTGCAGGTCTGGGTCATCTCAGGAACTCGGCACAGGTGCAGGGTCCCATGTACAACAAGGGCAGAACAAATTTGCCTGCAGAGAACGTATTTCTCTCTAGAGGACCTCTTGTTACAAAGGATATTTAAGGGATAATTGACAAAATGTAAACTGTACAGACTAACTGGAATAATGTATTCTATGGTTGTATTTGTAGTGTGTAAGAGAATGTCCTTGGTTGTAAGGGACAGAGCTTGCATTCAGGTCTTTATGCTACTCTCAGATGAATTTGGTGGGAGTAAAAACCATGTATGCTACACTAGCAACATCTATTTGAGTGTGAGATTGCTATCTTTTTTGAAATGGAAAAAAAAAATCTTCTCAGAAACATGTTCATAATTTTTCCAGGAGGAACTTCCCAAAAAACGTCTCCCCTTCCTCTCTTTTATGAGATCAAAATTCTTCCAAGAAGTCATGCACACTCATTAGTCCCCTTTTATCACATTGTGCTGTTCATCACTAGTGCTCCTAATCCTTGCTCCTGTCCTGGACTGGAAGACGTTCACAATCCTTACCCTGCAACGTCAGAGCTGGTGCCAAATATAGTGAGACAGAGACAGAGAGATGCTGTCGAGGAGGACAAGAGCTTCATCACGTTTAAATCTCACTGTGTGTCTAAATTAAATGGAATGAGGAAGAGAAATTCCATCTTTATTTAGTGTGGGTTAACACAAGCCAGACCTTGAGGATGATGATAAAGTCAAATTTATAATTTCCCATGTGGCAATGCTAACTTTAGCAGAGGTGGAAAGGTGTCCTCTGCATTTAAGGCCAGGAGAGACTTTTAGTACCTGGAATAAATGGGAGGATGTTTGGAATAGGGTCCTCAACCCAGGGTTAAGGTCAGGATTGCCCTGTCCAAGAGCTGTCAGACTCTGGTCCTGAGCTGTGCAGAAAGCGGTGGCTCTCCTGAACTAGGTGGCTGAAGATGTTGGAGGAACGAAAGGTCCTGTCCCCTGGGCTTCTTGGCAGGGGCTTGAGGGAAGGAAACTGCTTACACACCCACAGGTTCTGCACCAAGCACAGAGCTCATGGCCATGGTGAAAATCTGAGAGCCAGGGCTGTAGGGCTTGGCTTCAAATTCTGAGGCCAGCTGTTCTCAGCTCTGTCCTCACTGTTCCTGAATGGCTTGAACTCTGCTGTAGTAAAAAATGGAGGGCCAGCAAGTGTCCCCACTCAACAAAAAGGGAGGGTCAGCAAATGTCTCTACTCAGCCAGACTCCATTCTGATTGTGACAAAAAGGAACACATGATGGTAAATATACATGTAAATTTCATGTAAACATAATTTATTAAATATATATAATATTTTGGATATGGATTATATTGCTATATCTGTATACAAGGGGGAAACACAAGAAAACTGAATTTTTTTTGGAGAGTGGACCCCTTGCTGTACATTCTTTCTCCTCCAGGTGAGTGTTCTAGGAACCCATCAGCATCAGTGTACCAGCTAGAATTGTTGTGAGAGACTACATTCACCTTCAGTGAAATTTTGTTGTTGTTGTTGGAGATTCTTTCAGCACATTTTCTTGTTTCATGGTGAGTGATTTACAAGCACACCTTCCAACACTGCTGTGTGTTCATCAGTGCTTGACCAAAAAATAACATGACCCATGTGACCGACCTTCCTGTTCACATGATCTGCGCTAGTGCCTTTTTTTGTTTGTTTACGTGAATGAAAAAAGTCCTCAAAGGGAAGTGTTTTACCAGTGTGGAAGAGGTGAAACAAACAACAACAAAAAATGGCAGAAACAGTAAAAGGCCTCAAAATTGACAAGTTAAAAAACAGTTTTAAGCAGTGGAAAATCATCTCAATAGGTGTATTTCATCAAATGGAGACCACTTTGAAGATGACTGAAATTTAAACATGTGAGAATAAATATCAAATTTTTTATGAATAAACTTTATTTGGGGGGTTCCCCCTAGTATCCAATGTATCTACATTATAAATCAATATCTCATCTGCAGGTCTATTACTGATACCTGCAATTCTGGGACATTACTGTTGGTATAACATGTTATTGTATTTATTTCTTTTGGGGGGAGTGAGGTTTTACATTTGTTACTCAAAGCTTCATTCTGAAGTTTCTCTTAACTTTTACCAGCGGAACGGCATCAGATACTAACATTCCTAATGCTTCTCTTGGCTCAGCATATTATCTATTTCCTGTCTAAATATGTAGAAGGAATTCTATTTCCCCTTGATTATCAAGATCGATGACCCCAGCCAACATCATAAACATCTTTGGTTGACAATTTATCTTTTACCAATGACACTAAATGGTCATGTTTGTCATTTCTCCCAGTTTAATGGAACAATTATCATGCCAATACTTTGAATTAAGAACTGTCAGTCAGAAAACTCGAAACTCAAATGAACAAAAATAGAAATGTTTATCTTTTCAGGAGACATAATGAACAGTAATGAGTTCACCTCTAATTTCTCAGATAAAAGTATCTTTTAAAAATTTTTGTTTTACAAATATCTTCTTAGGAGAATAACAGTATCATAACTGTCAGTGGCTTATCGTCTTTATCACAACTGGGGAGACACTGATTAAACATTTCAAGGATTTCTGTGACAACTTTGCTTGAATGATAATGGCCTTTTTCCTTTCCATAAAAACAATTGAAGCTGTTTTCATAATAAGATCATGAGTTCATTTTTTGCAATAATTAAGCAAAAACGTATTTCACTTCTTTTGCTATAATTACGCAAATTTGTTTGAAGCTACACTATGTAAGAATTACTTGATTTTGATTAAAGCACTCAGAAAACCCTCAAAAATGTTTCTGGCAGAAATATGCCCGACAAGAAAGGCAAATTCATGTACAGGAAACTCCTCTCTGCCTTCCACATTCTGGGTGAGGCTCACTGCAGTCACATGATCCCAGTTGTTCGTCTTATCCCTGATGTGTGGTATTTATTAGGGGCTCAGGAAGGATCATTCTTCAGGCAACTAGTATGCTCAGAAGAGTGAATAGCCATCTAAGCCTCATTTGATCAAATTCGTATTGCTGAGGTCATG